TTATCGAGTTTTAAAAAATTCCTCTTGCTAGAAGATTGCAGAAATTTAAAGAATTAAACCATGTAGATTCTTAAGGTGGCATTTTAGATCTATGTGCAGTCATAAAAAGATTAATTATATAAATGTATTTTTAATGCTTAAAAAATGGCTGAATAAAATACAAACAAAAATTAGATATGAAAAAATTTAGTCTACCTTCATTTCATCTTACAGAAAAAGTTGTTAATGGATTTAAAAAAAGTAAACATACACTCTTTTTTATTAATTTAATATTTTTTACTTATTTATATATTTTAAGAATAAAAGATAATTTTGTGTGATTTAAAAACAATAAGTTATTTCGTTACAATTTTTACAACTTACATTTTGGGTCTATGAATAATCAAGAAACTTTGTAAATCTCATCGACAAAATCATTTTTTTTGTGGTATACGTTCCTGATTCAAATGCAATTATTATACCCTGAGTGATAAAAATAGTAAATAAGTTGTCTATTATAGTTTGAAGTTGACTTCTAAAAATTTTTAGATCTTATGAAAAATAAGACAAAAAAAAAGTTTATGATCTTGATCCAAAAGTAAAAGAAATAGAAAATTTTTTTATTTTGTAATTAGATTGAGGGAGTGAAAGTTAATTATTTTTTTAATAGTTAATATTATAGATGTCTTAAATATGTATTTCTTGCTTTAGTCAAAAGTGTACTCCAGTTTGATGTTATTCTATTTTATTTCCTTATTGTTATTTTTAAAAATCTTATTCACAGTATTTTTCCTATCATTGTATGAATGCTTCGGGTATCAAAGCGTCAAAAGAAATATCTCTTTGATATCATCTTGGGTCATGGAATCTTGATTTTTCTTTTACGAGTAAAATAAGCTAGTCTGTCAATAATTAGGATCATTTTTACAATACTTATCATTTACAAACAAATACATATATCTGTAAAAGCAATAATAAAGATTCCTCAACTAAATGAGAAATTATTCGGCATATGGAATATGGATATGGTTCTCTTATTATGTTTGTATTTTAATAAATATCATTGATAATTAAATTTAAAAAAAAGTTGAATTCAGTTGTTAATTAAAATACAAATAAATCATCAACTAAATAATAGTGATGTTTGCAAGAATGAATTAAAAAAACTCTAATTCACTAGTTATTTTCGACAATCAATTAAATACTTTTAAACATCTGATCATAATAACCATTCTATGTTTTTCAAAAAATCGATGAATATTATTATTCAAAAACTGTAGTGTAAATTCATATAAAAACAGATTTAATGTTGAAAAGCCCAGAATATGCATACTTTTCCTAAGACCACAGTTCTTATGAATTAAAAAAAGATCTTAGTAAAAAAATCGCTGCTTTAACCCTGAACACTGAAAAAAAAAGAAAAAAAAAAGAAAAAAAACCTCCGATACAAAATGCGAAAAGCCACGTAATGAAGAAAATCAATCGCGAACGAGGAGGACGCGTGAGTCGAACGTAAATTGTCAACAACGGCCTCAAATGCACCCTGGAAGTACATCAGGTCCCCCGTGTACACCGCAGAGCAGCAGTAAGTACATAGTGGCAGCGACCACCGAGCAGCACTGAATGGCAAATTTTATCGACTCGACCTCTTGCCCTTTTTGCCGCCAATGCCGCGTTTATATTTTCTCTCGAGGTGGCGGTGACGATAGAAATCATCACACACGTACGTGATTCTTTTTCCTCATCCAATGTACCGCTGTTCTGATTATTATATGTATATTTTGTGCACGTGTTTTTCGCTACTCTGCTGTTTACTTGTTCACTGGTATTTATTTTTGCTGCTACGATGAATATCGATGTTTTTTGCTTCGATTAATCTCGACGAGGAAGTGGCATCCTGTGTACGTGTATATTTTACAGGGGTGGAAAATATTGACAGACTAAGTGAGCGTTGTACTCGTAGTGTGGATGTGGGATTATTTGGATAGTGGATATTAAAAAAAAAATTTTTTTTTTTTTTCTTGTAATGTACACGTATCATATGTGCTCACAAGTACGTACGTGCTCTTGATGAAATATTTCATATTTTCAACCCCAGGCGTGCGTATATGGCTCCGTTTGCTTTGTGCATAAAAGAACTTGTTTGTGTACACCTGGATTGATTGCACGGATAGACTTGCTATCACGGCAGAAAAAATATTTGTAGACCTGATTTATACTAACAAGTATACAAGAAGTTGGTTGCACGCGCTTGAAATAATGAAAAAGTGGCGATAAATTATTTCGGTTTTATGTAATTAAATTGATGAATTATTTCAATTAAAAGCACACGATTTATATTTTTCAATTTTATCCAAGGGAAAAATGTGATCTCGTACTTGATGGTTAAAATGATTTAATTTATTAAAAATAAAACACACTGCAGAAAAAAAATTTTACTCCGACTCAAAGTCTTGACAGTGGTAGAAGATGTTACAGTATTTTGCAAAGAGTATAAAAAAAGGGAAAAAAAGAGTTGTCCAGAAGAGAAATAATCAACTTAGTGGTTCAGCGGGTTACACGTGTATGTATAGGTATGTAGGTGATATACACACATAAAAGGTATGTATTACAGAGCAGACTGCTGTGGGGTTTGCGACAGTCAGGTGGGTGAGAAATGGCTCCCGAGCCACTTGTTGAAAGTGCATGGCCACGCGAGTGGGGTATATTATACTTATAGCACGTGACCGCTCCTACAACGATCATAATAATATGCTATCTTCATTGTTTGTATATCTATTACCACTTATTTCTTATCGTCCTAAGTTGAGTGTGCTCTTTAATACATTACTTTATTTTTTATTCATTGTGAAAGTTTTTTCCTTTCATTTTATTACATGGTAAGAAATATTTGGCATTTTGCAAAAAAAAAAAATTTCTTACAAATGATTTTATTTTTTAAAGATTTACGAGCTTTTTGTTATGTGGTTCATCTTAAAATATTAAAAATCTTAAAGATATATGCTTCGCAGGTCCCTTGGGCTGAAATATAGCCCCAAAGATGATGAAAATTATTCGACGACAACTACCATTAACTTATCAGAAAAATCTGAAATTCTCCATATTTTAATGGCCTTACTAACAATTGGTATAGTTTTATTACTGTCACTATAATTACTCATGCTAAATGATTCTCACTCAAATAAAAAAAATTTAATTTTGTATCCCTTGTTGCGAAAATTATTGTTATCTGAAAAATAAGATAGTAAAAATTTTTTTTTTTTTCGTTGAAATGAACATGACATTTTTTGAAAATTATAGTGAAAAATATTTAATCCCGAAATTCAATTATTATTACTTAATTATGACGTATTGCGATTCGCCGAAACGAGTTTCATGTTTACTTTATTTTCAAAAAATCAAATAAAGTAAAATTTCTATCCCAATGCATGACCACGCAACGTTCGTTATTTCCAGAGGACAGATTTAGTTACAGACTAATAAATGGAACTCTTGGGCATTGATCAGATTAGTTCTATTTTTTTTTTTTTTTTTTTTTCAAGGTGACTTATAATTGTTTTATTTTCATTTTCGAATTAATATTTAGAAATGGAGTATACGTATACTAAATCGCGTAGGCGATGGTTTTTGTTTCGACTTTGTAAGTGGGTTCATAGCTGTTAAAGGCATATCTAATGAAGCGATAAGGACTAATAGTGTTGTATCGAAAAGATAAGTGTAGCATATTTGAATAGAGCAACCATCATACGAATATAACAATGATTTTATCCTTAGCTGGAAAAGAAATAACTTTAATTTATCTGCACATTATAGTACATGTTGATTGCCAAATTCATCATTTGCCATTTATGCTGCAGCGTACTCCGACAAGGGTCTTTATGTAAATTTGAATGACTCTGAACTCTCACTCTTTTTAGTTAACTATGAATGCAATTTCTTAAGGCTAAGTTGGCTGGAACGAGTTGAGTCACGTCTAATTGCTATTATATCGACGCCTCGTACGAAGTCTATCCTTATTCAGATTTCCCAATGTTAATTTAAATGAGAAAATGTGATAAGGCTAAACGTCGTACGAGGCGTCGACATATACAGTTTTTCATTTAAAATAATATTTTTGGATTAAATATCATCAGAAATACACAAATTGGCTTTCGATAGTTTAATGTGGCTGCAATCATGACATTTCACTCATACACTGCAATCATAAACACATTCATTAAATATCCATTATAATGCCGATAACACATCGTTAACATGCAACTGTAAACGTATCGACTTTTTGAACATCGAACAGTTACTATCCGAGTTTTTCGTTGGATAGCAAGAATTGACATATTTCTCGACACAACTGATGGAATCAGTCAAATGTAAAAGAAATTTTTTAATTAGTTCATATAGTATAAAAAGAACATCATATCCAATCAAAGTGCAACTAATACGTAAGTAATGTTAAGAATATCTATGTATTTTTTTTACACTGGTAGAACCTACAGTTTACTTTTACTATTTCTAACAGTACAACGTATATTTTTTAAACGTTTCTCATACTCTAAAAGTTTACAAAAGTTTCTTATCACTTTGTCAGAATAAAAATGTGTTTTTCCTCATACTTCCATTTCATACTTGCTTTCTTCATTATTAGGATAAAACTTTCCGAAACGTGAATATGTTTCGGAGTCAGGATTCCAGTCACACGAGTCCGAGTTGCTCTGGAAGTTCTCATAGTTGCAACGTATGCAAGAAAACCTTTGCTTCTCCTGGACGCCTAGCACTGCACAAACAGATTCATGAGAGGCTCTACCAATGCTCCAGATGTGGCAAAACATTTTCTCGTAAAATCTGTCTTGCGGTGCACAACCGCACCCACACTGGAGAAAAACCATATCGTTGCCAAGTGTGTTCTAGAGCCTTTAGCGATAAGAGGAATCTTACGGTGCATGAACGAATTCACTCTGGAGAAAAACCATACCATTGCCGAGTGTGTTCTAAAGGTTTTAATCATAAGATCAATCTTACGGTGCATGAACGAATTCACTCTGGAGAAAAACCTTATCGTTGCCAAGTATGTTCTAGAGCTTTTAATCGTAAGAGCCATCTTACGGTGCATGAACGAAGTCACTCTGGAGAAAAACCTTATCGTTGCCAAGTGTGTTCTAGAGCCTTTAGCGATAAGAGAAATCTAATGTTGCATCAACGAATTCACTCTGGAGAAAAACCATACCATTGCCACGTATGTTCTAAAGGTTTTTATCATAAGATCAGTCTTACGGTGCATGAACGAATTCACACTGGAGAGAGACCTAATCAGTGTCAAGTGTGTCCACGAGCTTTTTTATATAAGAGTAGCCTCACGAGGCATCAGCGTATCCATGTTGATGAAAGACCGTATCGCTGCCCAGTTTGCTCCCAAACTTTTGCCCAAAATGATGACCTAACAACGCATGTACACAGTGAGCACAGTCATCGTTGTTTCATGTGTTCACAAACATTTCGGCGAGTCAGCGACTTGGAGAACCACGTACAAATTCGGCATAGAAATTACCACTTCGCACAGTAAATCGGATGCAAGCTGGCGAAAAAGGAAAAAATTATTATTTTTCATAGTAAAAATTGTTGTTTTAACAGTAAAAATTTCTATGCTGGAGCAGTTAACCTTAAAAGGATCGGTTAATAAGTTTTACCTTCCCGCATAGAAATTTTTACTGTTCCATACAACCATAATTTTAACTGTTAAAACGATAATTGTTACAATTGAAAATAATAACTTTTCCTTTTTTTTACAACTTGCATCCAATTTACAGTGCAGTATGGTAATTTTTGCTGGAATGTCTCTATAGTTTTTATTATTTGTTTTCTCTCGGTGTATTATTTTACAAAGGCACTAATCGTCAAACGCTCAACCTGTAGGTTTTAGAAAAATACAACGATTCTGTAAGAAACGTTTTTTCCTGTAGGGCCAAATATTGAGGATAAAAAAAATGATTTTTATTAATTTTCATTTTTATCATTAATGACGAAGGATTATACTGATAAAAGATAATTTAAACTATCTAAAGATGTGTTAATTTTACCTACTCCTCGTATAGTTCGCGTGGGCAAGGTATCGCTCGAACATCGGGTGCAAGACTTGGGGTCCAAGATGAGGCATCAACAAATCATTCTGACTTATAATTGTTTTATTTTTATTTTCAATATTAATATTTAAAAATGGAGTATACGTATACTAAATCGCGTAGGCGATGGTTTTTATTTCGACTTTGTAAGTGGGTTCATAGCTGTTAAAGGCATATCTAATGAAGCGATAAGGACTAATGTGCATGAACGAATTCACTCTGGAGAAAAACCATATCGTTGCCAAGTGTGTTCTAGAGCCTTTAGCGATAAGAGGAATCTTATGGTGCATGAACGAATTCACTCTGGAGAAAAAAAAGGGAAAAAAAGAGTTGTCCAGAAGAGAAATAATCAACTTAGTGGTTCAGCGGGTTACACGTGTATGTATAGGTATGTAGGTGATATACACACATAAAAGGTATGTATTACAGAGCAGACTGCTGTGGGGTTTGCGACAGTCAGGTGGGTGAGAAATGGCTCCCGAGCCACTTGTTGAAAGTGCATGGCCACGCGAGTGGGGTATATTATACTTATAGCACGTGACCGCTCCTACAACGATCATAATAATATGCTATCTTCATTGTTTGTATATCTATTACCACTTATTTCTTATCGTCCTAAGTTGAGTGTGCTCTTTAATACATTACTTTATTTTTTATTCATTGTGAAAGTTTTTTCCTTTCATTTTATTACATGGTAAGAAATATTTGGCATTTTGCAAAAAAAAAAAATTTCTTACAAATGATTTTATTTTTTAAAGATTTACGAGCTTTTTGTTATGTGGTTCATCTTAAAATATTAAAAATCTTAAAGATATATGCTTCGCAGGTCCCTTGGGCTGAAATATAGCCCCAAAGATGATGAAAATTATTCGACGACAACTACCATTAACTTATCAGAAAAATCTGAAATTCTCCATATTTTAATGGCCTTACTAACAATTGGTATAGTTTTATTACTGTCACTATAATTACTCATGCTAAATGATTCTCACTCAAATAAAAAAAATTTAATTTTGTATCC